TCCCGAGGAGCTGGGACTGCAGGCACGTGCCACCACGCCTGGCTAATTTTTGTATTTTTAGTAGAGACAGGGTTTCACCATGTTGGCCAGACTGCTCTCGAACTCCTGACCTCGAGATCCGCCCGTCTCGGCCTCCCAAAATTCTGGGATTACAGGCACGAGCCACTGCACCCAGCTGGAATGCAGTCTTAAAGTAATGATTCATGAGGAAAAACACCTGATAAGATAAAAACTCATTTCGAGTATTTCTCTTAGCCAAGGTTCAAAGACTCCAGGCAAGAGCCGGGCACGTGACTGCTCGGGGCTGTAAACCCCAGCACTTTGGGAGGCCAAGGCAGGTGGATCACTTGAGCCCAGGAGTTTGAGACTAACCTAGGCAACATAGTGAGACCCTGTCTCTACACAAAATAAAAAAGTCAGCTGGGCGTGGTGGCCCACACTGTAGTCCCAGCTACTTGGGAGGCTGCAGTGAGCTATTATCGCACTAGTGTACTCCAGCCTGGGGGATAGAGCAAGACCCTGTCTCAAAAAAAAAAAAAAAAAAAAAAAAGATTCCAGGCTGTTCTGCAGAGAGATTTGTGCTTAGCTTCTCCACTGCTGGTGGCGTCTGGAGTCCCAGGTGCTGCTCATCCTGCGTGATCTGCACAGTGTCCTGGGAAAGAGCAGGTGCAGATGCGGATGCCACATGTAGGACACCCCTTTCCACCCCTGCCAACCTTGGCCTCCCTCCCTCCCTACCTAGGACCTCTTCTCAGCCCTCATCAAGGGCCCCACTCGAACCCCCTACGAAGATGGCCTCTACTTGTTTGACATCCAGCTCCCCAACATCTACCCAGCCGTGCCCCCCCACTTCTGCTACCTCTCCCAATGCAGTGGCCGCCTGAACCCCAACCTGTATGACAATGGGAAGGTGTGCGTCAGCCTCCTGGGCACCTGGATTGGAAAGGTGAGTATAGTGCCAGGCCCCCAGCCAAGAAGGAGGAAGAGCCAGTGGGGGATAGGGGCCTGGGGAACAGAATTGATGGTGCCCTGTGTGTTTCAGGGGACAGAGAGGTGGACGAGCAAGTCCAGCCTTCTCCAGGTGCTCATCTCCATCCAAGGTACAGTTGGGCTGAAGCGGGGGTGCGGACAAGGGAGGACCAGTGGAGGGAAGTGACTCTGATGGTCCCCTGGCAGGTGGAGGGTAGGCCTGCATGGTGGGCTTCTCTCGCCCACTGAGGGAAGCTGTCCCTCCCCCACAGGTCTCATCCTGGTAAATGAACCATACTACAACGAAGCTGGCTTCGACAGTGACCGGGGCCTGCAGGAAGGCTATGAGAACAGTCGCTGCTACAATGAGATGGCGCTGATCCGCGTGGTGCAATCCATGACCCAGCTGGTGCGGCGGCCCCCCGAGGTCTTTGAGCAGGAGATCAGGCAACACTTTAGCACTGGTGGCTGGCGGCTGGTGAACCGCATCGAGTCCTGGCTGGAAACCCATGCCCTGCTGGAGAAGGCCCAGGCGCTGCCCAACGGGGTCCCCAAAGCCAGCAGCTCACCAGAGCCCCCAGCTGTAGCCGAGCTCTCAGACTCCGGCCAACAAGAACCTGAGGATGGAGGGCCAGCCCCAGGAGAGGTCTCCCAGGGTTCAGACTCAGAGGGCGGTGCCCAGGGCCTGGCCTCAGCTAGCAGGGACCACACAGACCAGACTTCGGAGACCGCACCAGACGCATCAGTGCCACCCAGTGTCAAACCAAAGAAGCGGAGAAAGAGCTACCGGAGCTTCTTACCTGAGAAGAGTGGCTACCCTGACATCGGCTTCCCCCTCTTCCCACTTTCCAAGGGTTTCATCAAGAGCATCCGGGGTGTCCTGACGCAGTTCCGGGCTGCGCTGCTAGAGGCAGGCATGCCGGAGTGCACAGAGGACAAGTAGCTGCCAGGTGCGGAGGAACGAGCATCACCGTGGGAGAGGCCAGCCGCCGCTTGCTCACTCCCCGCCGGAATCGCCCCTCTTCCCATGCCCCTCTGTCCCCACTGCAAACCCCTCATTGCCCTCTTCTCCCCAAGGTGAGTTTGATGCTGAAGTGCAAGAAGTGTGTTGAGATGCCGCCGTTTCTATTCTGAAGCGAGCTTTCAACAGGTGGGTCCCCCGTGGCAAAGAAAATCGGAACCCTATTGCCGATTTTCCATTTGTCACCCCAGCAGAATGTCCCGGCACTTGCTCCCTTGCTGTCCCTTCTCAGGTCAGAGGTGGGTGTTCCAGGGCCTGCCGCGGGGCTCTCTGGGCCGGTGCCCTGCAGACCCGCAGGAGAGCACATGTGCCTTGCATGAAGTGTGGGTTGCGCCAACAATTCCCCTGGTCCCTTTCAACCTCTTAAGTTCAACTTGAGCCTCCGTGTGTCCTAGACCCTCCTGCTGCCACCGCCACCAGGTCCTCCCTAGTCCCCCAGCGTCAACACTATACCTTGGGAGTTGTAGCTGCTGTCACTGACTCCTGGCTATACATGGCCTGTCGACCACATTATAACCCTCAGGTCTGTTGAACTTGCTCTCTAAGAGAGGTTGGGACCAGGCTAGGTTCAGGGTGACGCCCAGGAGAGGTGGTGGCCTTCACACACGCACATGGAGTGAGGACCAGGGAGCTGTGGGGAAAGCAACAGCTGTAGGTGCCTTGCTCTTCTGTTGGAGGCTGCTGGGGGCAAGAGCAGCTGCACAAGGCCAGGGCAAGTGCTAGGGCCCCTCCCCTATCACATGGTCACACTGGGACGTGGCGTGCAGCTCACTGAACTCCAAGCGAGCCAGCCCTCTCTTGGACTAGAAGGCCTACTGTCAGCCCTTCGCTTACAAACTGCAGGCTCAATCCAGAAGGGGACGGCCGGCGGGGGCTCTCCTAGTGCCCAGAGACAGGCCCAGAGGTTTACAAGTTTTCTAAGCTTTTGATAATGTGAAGCTCCAGGCCAAGAGGATGCTGTTGAGCACATTGCAGCTATGTAATTTTTGGTGTATGTATGTAATATTTAAGGTTGGAAAAAAACTCAAAAGCAAAGATATTAACTCTTATTAGAAAAAAAGACAAAAAAAAGCCAAAGCATGATGCGTCTTGTCAGCCTTAAGTGGGCTCCACACCTGTGCTGTGCTGTGACCGCCCAGCCAGCAGAGCTGCCGGAGGACGGAGCTGGAACACACACCATGGCATTTGGAGCCGAGTCAGTATCTTGTTTGAGAAACACCCGGAGTGACTGGTGGGGCTGTGCTTCCCAGTGCATTGTACATGTGGAGATGTGAATGCCTACTGCTTACAATATCTGTATAAAGTGCTGTGTGATTAAACTTTTTTTTACTTGCTTTTTTTTTTTTTTTTTTGGGTTGGCTCATTAACAAGACAAGGTGACACCATTAAACCTCCCTCTGCCATTCATCTGGGCTCCGTTGCCTTTCTTCCTCTCTGGGGCACTGTGTGCTTGTGTCCCTCACACACACCCTTCCTGGGGAAGGAAAGACCTTGTTGCCAGGGAAGGCATGTGGCAGTGGGTCCTGGCTTTCCTGGCCAGGTGGGGGCCACTGTGAGCAGCACCCCCCACCTGCCCACGCTGCCCTCCGCCTGCCAGATCTGCTTGCATGCCTTTTGTACTTCCTGTCCTGGAGCAGTCCTCTGGCCTCTTCCTGGCTGGTGGTGTGCTCCTTAAGAGCCAGCTTAGAGCAGCCTTCCAGTGGCTGTAGTCTCCAGAGACCTACAACTGACCAGTTCAGCTCCTTCCAGATTCTGGGAGAGCTGACGTCATAGCACCTGGTGGTGGACAGGTGCCACATCTCCTGGACCCTAAGCCAAAATGGTTACCCAGTTTATGAGACTTGCATGCATTCTTCCCTGCCGTAGTCTTTCCACTCCTGCCTGGCACTCCTCCACGAGGACAGGTGGGGAAGGGAGGTGGCTGAGGGAGGCTGGGGGAACCCTAGACCCCTCATTGGTGGGGATGACAGACTCCTTTTAAAAAGGTAAGATACTGACCGGGTGCGGTGGCTCACAACTGTAATCCCAGCACTTTGGGAGACAGAGGCAGGCAGATCATTTGAGGTCAGGGGTTTGAGACCAGCCTGACCAACATGGTAAAACCCCATCTCTACTAAAAATACAAAAATTAGCCAGGCATGGTGGCGCACACCTGTAATTCAAGCTACTCAGGAGGCTGAGGCACAAGAATCACTTGAACCCAGGAGGGTTTTTTTTTTTTTGCAGTGAGCAAAAAAAAAAAAAAGGCAAGATACTGCCATTTTTTACTTCTGAAGTCTCCTGCACCTTGCCAATTTTGGGGAGTGGCGGGGGTAGTGTTTTTATTTTGTTTTTGAGACATTCTCACTCTGACACCCAGGCTGGATTGCAGTGGCGTGTTCTCAGCTCACTGCCGCCTTAACCTTCTGGGCTCAAGTGATTCTCCTGCCTCAGCCTCCCAAGTAGCTGGACTACAGGTGCCCATCACCACACCCTGCTAATGTTTGTATTTTTTGTAGAGACGGGATTTCACCATGTTGCCAAGGCTGGTCTCAAACTCCTGGGCTCAAGTGATTCACACGCCTCGGCCTCCCAAAGTGCTGGGATTACAGGCGTGAGCCACCGTGCCTGGCCCATCGGTTTTCTAATGCCCTTAACTCAGATATTTTCCCTTTCCTGCTAAATCTACATGGGGCTCTGATGAGATTTTCTGGGACTAGCTGGTTGTGTGGCCCTAGCTGAGACATGCCAGGTCCGAGCTGCAGCCTGTGTGTGGTCAGGCAGCTGGCTGAACTCTGAGGCTGCTTCAGGCTGGAGGTACTGTAATTATCACGGTAGTAGAGGCATCCCCCACCGTTAGGCTGAACCAGCTCTGGGCCTGAGTCCCCCACCAGAGTGACTATGCCTGAGGCCAATAAAATCCATTGTCCATCCCAGGGGGCAGTATTGGCCATCATTAACATTAAATTCTATAGTCCTGGCCAGAGCAAGAACCCATTCTCTCCCCAGTCACCAGGACAGGACCAGCAGGCTGAGAATGTCACTTTATTTGGATTTGGTTCATGGGGTGGGGGTCCTAGAACAAATTGGAAGGCCTTAGGCAGCTGGGCCCAGCCAGCTGGGCTCCTGACCCCAGGACCTCATTCTGGCCTGTCCCCCCAAAGCATAGCTTCCACCTTCTCACCCTTCTCCAGAGGAGTCTCCTCCACCCCACAGGAGCTGTGGACAGGCCCTGCAGCCCTGGGGAAGGAGGAAGGGTCCTGCAAGTAGACACTAAGGCACAGCGTGGCCCAGGGGTCATAAGGGCTCTTCTGGAGGTGGCGTCTGCTGGGGCTTCCAGCTGGGCAGGGGCTCCACGCACTCACTGACCATCCAGAAGTAGTTTGGGTGCACCTGGCCCTGCACAGCCTCGCTAACCATCAATTCCCCATCCACTGTAAACACACCTCTCCCATCCTCGGGCTCTAAGCGGAAGGCGACCACAGGCATGTATACCAAGTAAGGGCATTCATATTCCATATGCCTGCCCTTCTCCATGGCCAGGAAGAGGCGCAGCAGCATGGCCCGAGACACTCCCGCCCGCACATAGAACAGATGCATGACACCAGCTGCACAGCGGCCCATGGGTGCCGCAAACATCTCGCTGCCCAGGTGCGAGTGCAGCAGCGCTAGCACCAGCACGAAATCCTGGTCGGGCACCACTGTCCAGTGAGAGGGCACTGGCTCCTCCAATGGCACAAGGTGTGCATCTACGGGGCCCTGCTGGACCACAACGGGAGAAACAGGTGTCTTAGAGCCGGCTCTTCCTACAGGGAGGTAGGCCAGTCGGCCACGGTAAGTGCGCAGGGCTGCCAGACGCAGGAAGGTGCCCAGAGTGAAGCGCATCTCCCCCAGGCGCCGATACTTCTCACTCTCTAGGTCCACATCAGCAATGAAGCCCCAGGCCAGGCTTAGCACAGAGAAGAGGCGCAGCCCCGAAGCCGTGTGCAGAGACAGCAAGTTCATGGGTGACAGTAGCCGGCGGCACAGCAACCGCGTGCAGTTGGTCAGGAGGTCTTCATTGGTGACCTGCTCATAGCTGCAGGGGGAAACGGTCAGATGAGGCAGGACAGGAGCCCCCATGCATCCCCCCCTTCCTCCTCCCTGGGAGTGGGAGTCGGCAAAGCGCCATGTGGTCCCTGGGGAGTTGGCAGGGCTGATAGGTGACAGATGGAGCAAATGGAAGCAGTCAGTTGGGGTCACCAGGAGAGGGCCCCAAGACTAAGGGAGAAGGGGAAATGGAAATGACCTCAGCCTATGGGAACTTAGACAAGAAAACCCCGCAGTAGAGGGGCACAGACTGGAAACGGGCCCACTCTGGCCCTGGGCTCTCACCCAGCATAATGGTTCAAGGAAGCTGCCAGCGCGTTGCCAGAGCCTGCTGGGAGGCTACACAGGGGCTTCTGGATGGCGGTCTCCCAGTCAGGCCGCTCCATGAGCCCGTTCACCACCTGTTGAAGCACACGTGGCCTCAGCCCGGGTCGCAGAGCACCAAGTCCCAGGCCAAGCCGCATGCCAAGCCGCGCGGTGCGGTCCTCACCTCGTGCATCAGTCCGTCTCCAGACATGACCACCAGAGCGTCCCAGCGGCCCAGCTCCTCCGACCGCACCAGCTCCCGCGCATGGTTCCGCCGCTCTGCAGGGAGACCGGCAGCCATCAGGACTGGGGGTCCCGACAGGGGATGCTCCCAGAATCCCCTCGAGAGGTACTCACCAGTGAGCATCAGCGTGAAGGAGATTTCAGCCTCAGCCAAAAGGGGCTGCACGTGACTCCGGAAGAGCTGCAGGGCCTTGCCCTTGCCGCCACGCGGGTTCAGCAGCACCAGCACGCGGCAGGACCGCGGGAGCACGCCCCGGGGGCCGCCCGCTGAGAAAACAAACCCGAAGAGGCCGCGTCCGCAACCGACCACTAGGGGGCTACGGGTAACAACGGGGCACTGGTGTGGGAACGTGGTGTCCGCAACACCCGGGTAATTTGACCCTGGCCAGAGGAGCAGCCTCTGCTGGGAGCCCTGGGGTAGGGACGCGGCGCTCCTGCCACCCCCTTCCTTGGCTCAGACGCGGCCGGCTTCTGGCCTCGTGAGGGATAGTGTTTCTCTCGATCGTCCACACCCCCGTTCGTCCAGCTGGGCGTTCCATCATTCCTGGCGAGGAACAGGAATCCCCCTACAGCCCTTCCCAGCAGGGACCCCACAAACCTGGATCCATAACCTCGACCCGTGGCTCCCTCTGCCGGGGGGTCCCTGGCGCTGTCGGGGCACTGCCCGTGGCGGCGGCTCCTGCCTTCAGCTCCTTATCGGTGCTGCCCAGGCGGGCGTCGCAGGGCCGGCTGTGGGGCTCGCCCTCCCCGTCCGGAGCCGTGGCTGTAGGAGCACCGGCGTCATTCCCTGCGGCGGCTGGATCTGAGGTAGAGAAGACAGCGCTGGCGGAGTCCGGAGCCGCAGCTCCCAAAGGCGGGGAGGGCCCGACTAAATCCCGGGACCACGCGCGGGGAGTTGCGCGCTCCCGCATCGCCCGAAGCCCGTGGGGCGGGGCCCTAGGTTCCCGGGACATCCAGAGAGCTGAGGTCTGGTGCCTCCGAGGGCGCCCCCGTCGTGTGACTAAGCCTCCAACCCCGGAGGAGAAGAGCGCCTGCTCCGGGGCTTTCCTCCCTGGGGCTTCGGGTTCGGTTCCGGCCGACGGATGAGTCAGAGCCTCCGACGGACTAGCTCCTCACCCCTCGGGGCTGCCAGGGGAAGGGGAGCCCAGCTGCGTAAAAATCCCAGAACTTGAGCGGACATTGCTGGGACGAAGTTCTGGGCAAGGATCCCGGCCCCAGCCAGTCAGGTTGCCGTGTCCCCTGCCCGGAGTTCCAGAGCGGTGGGAGCCGCGGCGCGCTCCTCCTGGGGCCCCGTTCCGTTGGGAAGCGCGCGGCGCTCGTGGGAGCCGCTCCAGGGCCGCGCGCGTACCGAACCCGAGCCGGGCCACCAGCTGCCGCCTGCTCTCGCCCAAGCGACAAGTGGCCCAGTTCCCCGAGGCCCCGCGAGGGCGGGCCGCAGAGGAGCCACAAGCGGCGCGAAGGCAGGGTGGGCGGCCCTACCCAGTCGGTCCGGTTTGCTGGGGAGGCGCCACCGCCGTTCCCTACAGTGGCCTGGGGCGGAAAGCAGCTCGTCCCAAGCTCAGCCCACGTCTGAGGGACTGGAGCGCCCCGCTGGAGTGGACTCCCCGGCCTCGCTCCCTCCGGCCTCAAACTTTTCGCTCAACTTTGCAGCCGGCGCCGCGGTGCGGGGAAGGCGCTGAGCCTCGGCGCCGGCCTGGCTCCGCCCCGCGCTCCCGGGGGTGGAACCTGAGCCCGACGCGGCCTCGGACTCCGCCCGCCCCCGGCCTCAGCGCGCCGCCTCCGGCATGGCCCGCGCACGCGGCCGGGCCACGCGCTGGTTCCCACCGGGGTCCTAGGAAGCGGCAAGCGCGCCCCCGCCGCTCGTCCTAGGCGTCTGGCGAGAAGGCGGCGCCGCGGCCCGGCCGGGTGAGCTGCGGCGACTGGCAACGAGGCGCGGAGTCCTGGGCCCGGCCGCGAGCGCAGTGTCTGGGGCGGGCGAAAGTGACCGCGGCGCAGGCGGAGGCGTGGGCTGCGCGCGAACTCGTGTCGGAGCGAGCGCCGGGCGCGCGCGGTTCCGCTCTCACAGGAGACCCTTGGCTTCACCTCGACGCCACGACCTTGCCGCTCCGGGTGCTGCCGGAGCCGGGATGCAGCGCCCCTTTTTCTCGCTCTGCCCCAGCCCACCCGGAATTCGAGGCCCGCACGACACCCGGTGCGCCTCCCCAGGCCCGGGCGTCTCGCCTGCCGCCCGCCAGCTTCCCTTTTTCTTCCTCCCCGGCTCTCCCACGGAGGTTATTTTTAACTTCCCGACGCCGCAGCTGGGCCACCGAGCCCGAGGCCGCCTAGCGCGCTGTCCGGGGCAGAGGAGGCGACAGGCCGAGGGCTCCGAACCGGAGAGGAGCCTTGACAGTGTAGATGGGCCTAGGGGCCCCCGTCGGGATTGGAAAGCCAAGCATGGGGCACGTGCCCCCCGCCCCCTCTGGCTCAGCGTGAAAAAGGGGTGCCGGAAACACGCTCAGAAGTTGTCACCTCCTTGGAGGCCGATGGGGACGCGCTTGTCAGTGTGTTTGTGATACACTTATCGCGGCAAGCCACAGAACGTGTCCGCGAGCACCTCGAGTTAGATCCCTGGGGGGTTACGAAGGACACGGAGGAAGAAGTTGCCAAGGCCCATTGGTGACCTGCCCAGGTAGGGCCAGAGTTAGGAGAACCCAAGCCCCTGCGGGAGGCTGCGGGGCTCGCGCGCCCCCGCCGGCACCACCCGCCCCCACACACCTCTCTCATCGCTTCTTAAAAGTCGAGAAGAGGCAGGTCCGGGAGGAGCACGCAGTCAATTAGCCGGGCGGCGCCCTGAACTCCGGCACGCCTCCGCGGTGTCTTCTCCGGGAGGACCCAGGCAGCTCGGCCCCGTTTCCCAACACTTGGGGGGTCAGACGGGCGGTACCCGAGAGTCCCCGGGCGGGTGGGGGGGGCACAGGCTGGGACGCGGGGTCCCTGGGGCCGCAGCTCCGCGCGCGTCTCGGCGGGTGCGCCTTCGCCCTGCGCGGCCCCCGGGCAGTCCCCGCTGGGTCCAGAGCGTCCCGAGCGCGTTACGGTAAGGTGACTCAGCGACGCGCTCACGGGTCGAAAAACTCCGAGAAACAGGAACGAGGGGAGGGAGCAGGGGCGTCATTCCCGACTCATGGCGTTGCGGCTCGTGTGGACTGATGGTCCTGCACCTCTGGGCCCCACCCCCACCCCCTCCCCCTCCCCCCAGGAATCCGGCGCGGGCGGGGTATGGAGCGCTGCAGCCGCAGTGCCGCGGTCGTGCGCTGCGGGGACGCGAGCGGCTGCGGGGACGCGAGCGGCTGCGGGGACGCGAGCGGCTGCGGGGACGCGAGCGGCTGCGGGGAGGAGGGGGCTCCGCGCGGGAGCCCAGGACCAGATCCGTCCGCCCCTCCCCTCTCCTTTTCCTTCTTCCCGTCCTCTCCCTCCAGCGAGTGTAGGGTCCAGACGTGGGCTTTGGTGCCCAGAAGACGCGAATCGGAGGCTGTGCTCCCGGAGATCTCAGCCTTCGAGGGGACTGGCTGCGGAGACTAGCTGGGGCAGCCTTCCCCTTCTGCTCCCTGCTCCGGAGAGCATTTCCACCAAATCTGAAAAGCTCGGTCATTAGCCATAGTCTGAAGAGGGAAAACTGAGGCACAGGGAAGCACTGTGAGTTCGTCGTGATAAAGCCCACCTGGTTTAGGGTCCCCCCCTTTTTTTTTCCCTCCTGAGGCCCCAGAAAGGTCGGATCCTGCGCCTCCAGACCCACTACCACCAGCCTTGAGTCCGCGGAGCGGGCGGGGGCGGGGTTGACTGCAAACTGAGTTGGCCAGGGGAGGCGGGGCAGCCTGCTGGGCTCTTTATCCAACAGCCTCGGGGCCCCAGCTCCCCTCCTGGCTCTGGAAGGCCCCGCGGGAGGGAAGCGAAGGGCAAAGCCCTCTGGCCCCGGTTCCAGGCCGCACAATGGGTCCTCTGTCCTCCCTGGCGCCTAACCCCCTGCCCCCCTCACCTCCAAGGCCTTTGCCCCCCACATTCTTGTCATTCACTTCCCCCCACCCAGGCTGCCTTTCTCTAGACCCCTTTCCCCTTCTCCCTTTCTAAAGAATTTGATCCTGTCTCCAGAAACTCCCCCAGCTGCATCCCTGCTCGGAGAGGCAGGGTTGGCCAAGAGCAAGACGGTTCCCCTTCCCACAGTTGCGGGTAGGGGGGCAGGCACTTGGATCTCTCAAGCTGCCAGCTTGGCCCGTTTCCCACTGTACTTTACTTCCTTTTTTAAAAGAGAAAAAAGGACAAGGTGGGGAGGGGGTGGGGGGGACCGAAACCCTGAGAGGTGAAGAGACTTGCACAAGCTTCCAACCAGTTCCCCACAAAGCAGAGAAGCAAACCCATGAGCTCAGACCCCACGCTGAGAAGCCAAGTCCAGCCAGAGCTCGCTTCTGGGCCTCTCTGTATCCCAGGCTGTTTCTCCCTGAAGGGCAGGTATCTGGCGATCTGGTGCTTGGTGGATTGCTTGCCGCAGAGCTGTGGAGTCCCCCTGAGAAAGAGGCAGCAGGCCGGGCCCAGTGGCTCCCGCCTGTAATCCCAGCACTTTGGGAGGCCGACGTGGGCGGATCACCTGAGATGGGGGTTTGAGACCAGCCTGACCAACGTAGAGAAACCCATCTCAGCCCGTCTCTACTAAAAATACAAAATGGCCGGGTGTGGTGGCACATGCCTGTAATCCCAGCTACTTGGGAGGCTGAGGCAGGAGAATTGCTTGAACCCAGGAGGCGGAGGTTGTGGTGAGCTGAGATCGTGCCATTGCACTCCAGCCTGGGTGACAGAGCAAAACTCCATCTCAAAAAAAGAAAGGAAGGAAGGAAAAGAGAAAGAAAGAAAAGAAAAGAAAGGAAAGAAAGATGAAGCTCCAAGCCCTCCCCAGGCTTCATCCTGAGCCTGGAAACAGCTGGGCCGCCGCGGCAGAGAGGTCTGATTTGATCACAAACCCAGAGCTTGGCTTGCAGGTAATCTGTCTCACAGGTGGGAGACTTTTTCTATCTTTCCCAGCCTCCCCCTCCTTGTGGGCAGCCTCCCCAGGGAGACACACCTGAGAACCCCCTTTTTTCTTTTCCAGAGAAAGAAAGCAGGCATTCACCCGGCCTGGCCCTAGCTCTCCAGAAACTTGGAGTCAAGGCTGCCAAATGGCAAATTACTTGCTTTTATGAGGAGAGGATTCCTGCCTTCTCACCCTTCCCTGAAGCTACCTTCCCCAAGAGATTTCAGCTCCCTAATTGCATGGCCTCAAGGCCTTCCTTGACCTCAACTTCTTTCCTTTCTTTTTTTTTTTTTTTTTTTTTTTTGAGACAGAGTCTTGCTCTATTGCCCAGGCTGAGGCTGGAGTGCAGTGGTGCGATCTTGGCTCCCTGCGACCTCCGCCTCCCGGTTTCAAGCAATACTCCTGCCTCAGCCTCCCGAATAGCTGTGATTACAGGCGTGAGCCACTGCACCTAGCTAATTTTTGTTTTTTTAGTAGAGATGGGGTTTCACCATGTTGGCCAAGCTGGTCTCAAATTCCTGACCTCAAGTGATCCGCCTGCCTCGGCCTCCCAAAGTGCTGGGGTTATAGGCAGGAGCCACCACTCTGGTTTTTCCCTTTTTATGGTATTTTACTGCCTGGGAGGTTGCAAGGACCAGGGAAGGGAGGTTCTAGCTCACAAGCTCTTTTTAAGAGCTTAGGGGCCAGGCACAGTGGCTCACGTCTGTAATCCCAGCACTTTGGGAGGCCAAGGCGGGTGGATCATGAGGTCAGGAGATCAAGACCATCCTGGCCAACATGGTGAAACCCCAGTCTCTACTGAAAATACAAAAATTAGCTGTGTGTGGTGGCGTGCGCCTGTAGTCCCAGCTTCTTGGGAGGCTGAGGCAGGAGAATTGCTTGAACCCGGGAGGTGGAGGTTGCAGTGAGCCGAGATGGTGCCACTGCACTCCTGCCTGGGGACAGAGCAAGACTACATCTCAAAAAAAAAAAAAACAAAAAAACAAAACAAAAAAAAAACTTAGGTCTAGCCGGGCGCAGTGGCTCATGCCTGTAATCCCAGCACTTTGGGAGGCTCAGGCAGGTGGATCACAAGGTCAGGAGTTTGAGACCAGCCTGGCCAAGATGGTGAAACCCTATCTCTACTACAAATACAAAAATTAGCTGGGTATGGTGGTGTGCACCTGTAGTCCCAGCTACTCAAGAGGCTGAGACAGGAGAATTGCTTGAACCCAGGAGGCAGAGGTTGCAGAGAATCAAGGTCGTACCACTGCACTGCAGCCTGGGCGACAGAGCAAGACTCCGTCTCAAAAAAGAAAAAGAAAAAAAAAGCTTAGCGCTGTCCCCGCATGGCTTTCCATTCCCAGTTTCCTAGATATCATTTCCAGGTCAGCCATGCCAGGCATTGGGGTGGAGGGGGTGCCACATGCCACACATGGCCACATGTGGCGATCCAGAGGACCAGACTGGTCATGCAGGATTCTTGGCTGCTTGCAGGGAGTGTGTGCTTTGCCCGAGTTTCTGTTTCTCCCCAGTGGTTGGACTACTATGAATGTGTGGTGGGGTGACCCTAGCTCTGTCCCTTGGGTGGTTTCCTTGTCTTTGTCCTCCTTGCTGAGGCTGGAGACCCAGGTCTCTTCTGGGCCTCTGGGCTCTGCCTGCCACATGCCCTCACCTCCAGGCTGCTGACTGTGGCTGCAATTCAGGGCGATTATCTTAGGAGCCCTCTCCGAAGGTGAGGGCTCTGCAGGTGGTGACCTGCAGCCCTACCCACTCCACTTGTCTCAGCTGCCTGCCCAGCATCTGTAGGCATTTGTATTAGTGTCCAGGTGGCTTAGACAACCTGTCTCACAGTTTTGGAGGTTGGGAAATCTGCGATCATGGTGTTGGCGAGATTGGTTCCTTCTGAGGCTGTGACTCTGTCCCAGGCCTGTGTCCTGGTGGTTTGCCAATAGCCTTTGGTCATCCGTGACTTGCTGCATCGTCCCAGTCTCTGCCTTCACCCTCAGAGGGCCCTCTCGCTGGGAAAGAGTTGGAACTTGTTCTGTAGGGCCCATGAGCCTGTTCTTTTTCTACTACAAATGACTTGGAGGGAAAACCAGTGAGTTATTAGGGCCCTAGTGTGAATTAGTGTTTCATGGGGGGTTTTTTTGTTTTTTTTGTTTTTTGAAACAGGGTCGTACATCCTCGTCACCCAAGCTGGAGTGCAGTGGCACAGTCACAGCTCACTGCAGCCTCGACCTCCTAGGCTCAAGTGATCCTCCCACTTCCATCCCCTTTAGTAGCTGAGACTATAGGTGCATGCCACCAAGCCCAGCCAATTTTGTTTTTTGTTTTTTGTAGAGACACGGTCTCCCTGTGTTGCCCAGGCTGATCTCAAACACCTGGGCTTAAGTAATCGTCCCACCTCAGATGCCCAAAGCGCTGGGATTACAGGCATGAGCCACTGCACCTGGCCAGCGTTTCATGTTTTGAATGAAAAGATGTAACAATACCAGGTGTCTTGATAAAGGATAGTGTAGTCTCCTAAGGGTATAGGAGGAAAGGGGTTTCTGGCTGCCAGGCCTCCATCCTCCCAGGCTTGCCAAGGTGTGATTTACTGGGAGGAGTTGTTTATGCGTGTGCTGGCAGCCGGACTTCCTGTGCTCCCGCTCCCTTGACTTTCAGATGTTATCTTACACCTTGCGTATGGCATTCTCAGCTTCCTGAGCAGATGGGTTTCTTGCCCAGTCTTTGGAAGAGCAAAGCTGAGTGTTGTGTTGGATGGTGTATTAGGTTCCTATTGCTACACACAATTGAAACAACACAGATTTTTTATCTTGCATTTCTGGAGGTCAGAAGTATTAGGATGGTTGCTAATACCATTACTTTTATGCCAAAAACCGCAATTTCCCCAGGCCAGGCGCGGTGGCTCACGCCTGTAATCCCAGCACTTTGGGAGGTCAAGGTGGGTGGATCATCTGAGGTCAGGAGTTCGAGACCAACCTGGCCAACATAGTGACACCTCCTCTCTACTAAAAACTACAAAAATTAGCTGGGTGTGGTGGTGCACACCTGTAGTCCCAGCTATTTGGGAGGCTGAGGCAAGAAAATAGCTTGAACCTGGGAGGCGGAAGTTGCCATGAGCCTGAGATCACGCCACTGCACTCCAGCCTGGGCAGCAGAGTGAGACTGTGTCTCAAAAAAACAAACAGGCCGGGCACAGTAGCTCGCTCGGTAATCCCAGCACTTTGGGAGGCCAAGGCAGGTGGATCACCTGAGGTCAGGAGTTTGAGACCAGCCTGGCCAAC